TGAAAACTGTTGCAGAAGGAATGAACCCACGGACAGTTCACCTCCAAGAACTACTACTATATAATTGTCACCTACTGACAGATGGAATCCTAAATGGGAGCAGACCCTAAAGTACACTCTTGCCATCAGTGCCTTCACAGGGATGAGACATCCCTTTTCTCCAGCACAAGCATTACTCAAGCATTTTCACCAACAAAAATGCTCTGCTTGCAGGGAGGGAGTGATGGTACATGCCTGTCACCTCAGCATCCAGGAGGCTGAGCAAAAAGACCCAGAGTTTAAGGCCAGCCTGAACTACAAAGTGAAATGCTGTCAAAACAAAAAAGCAATCAAAGTGCTTCTTCTCAGACAAGCCATTGTTTCCTCCCTTTTCTTTTTGTGGTGCTGAGGTTTGAACTTGGGCCTTTTCTGTGCAAGGCAAGTGTTTCATACTGAACCACATCCTGATCCCTTATTTTTCTTTGAGACAGTGTCTTGCTGTGTAGCACAACCTGCCTCAAATTTATAATCCTTCTATCTCTGCCTCCTGAGTGCTGAATTACAAATATGGATCATTGTGCATTGTGTTAAGGGACTGAAAACACTCACCCAAGCACCAAATGAATACTTTAAGACTTCTGAGCAGAGCTTGGGAGTCTTTCATAATTCCTGTTTCTTCCTGACCTTGAAACAAGAGAGTGCTATTGCTCTGTCAGTGAGTACAGGTAGTGATAGTATTCCAGGAGACTACCTTTAAATTAATTCTCAGCCTGATAACCAGGGTTTGACTGGCCCAATGCCATCCTAACCTCTCTGTGATGGTGGGTGACTGTTACAAAAATACATGGAGGATGCTTTGCCATGAGCGTCACCTAGGTAAGGCACTGCAATGCACAGTGGAGTCTGTCTACCTGCTGACAAAAGCAGATGCCAACTTCAAGCGCAAGGGCTAAGTGTCCTATTATAGATTTCAAACCAACTAATGTGGTTCTTCAACCTAGGGGCTCACACAGCTAAGTGTGTATAGCATTGTTTACTGTCTCAGAGACAACCTACCAGGTCCTATGTGGTAGACAGTCTCTACACTATACTTGGTCATGAGTTTTTGGGAGTTGATGCCAAACCCCAGTGTACCCAGCATAGCACTACTAGGCAGATAGAGCTTCGGTTTTGGAAGCCTTGCCTTAATTTATGTATTTGACATCCTCCAAGGGATTCTAGATGTCATCCTGTGCCTGTAATATTGTTCTAGTCCCAAAACTAGGGACGTCTGTCACCCTGTTCTCTGAAGCATGGTTTTGGAGTTGCTGCCAACTTCAGAGAGACTCACCTGTTAGTGAAATCTGTGCATAGCTTCACCGATCCTAAAATCTTAGTTTCTTCGGATCAACTTCTAGCTGGACACTGCCTATAGTGTCAACAATGAAGCCTTAACTTTATACATACACATGTAAGTCTGAATGTTTTCATTTAGTACATACAGCCTTTTATGAGTTGCTCCTGCTTGTCTTTTGTGGGTGGGGGTGGGAAGCTCTACAAGTTCACTGATTTGGGGGGGGATTCAAGAAAGGGTTGCTCTGTGCTATCCTGAAACTCATTCTGTAAACCAGGCTGGCCTTGAGCTCACAGAGATCCACGTGCCTCTGCCTCTCCAGTGCTGGTATTAAAGGTGTACACTGCCGCCTCCGCCCCACCACCACCACCACCACCACCACCTAGCTTACTGATTATTTTCACATATGCTTTATTTTGCCTCTTTAGTTCACAACTCATTTCAGGAGAAGTTTGCATATACTAACATGTTTTGAAAAATCTTATTGTTTATTGAAGAGTTCCTTCCTTGCAATAATGAAGATTGATTGCATCACTAAGTTACTACCCTTGAGGTCCACATACTTGTCTTTGAGATTTTGAGAAACTGTATATTTAGTTATATAAGGACAGAAATTGCTCTTCCAAAAAGGACTCATGTGGCTGTCAAGTCCTTTTCTTCCCTCATTTTCTAACTCTTTCTTGGCTGTCATGTCCAGTTGGCTGCCAGCATCTGTCTCAATTGTTCCTAAAATGCCAAACTCTAGAGTGCCAATACCATATTCCTGTCAGAAGAATACTTAACTTGAAGCATTGTAATTAGTAACTTTTTTAATCAAGTATAACATTTATTTATTTAAAGATAATAATGGAAGACCAACAAAATCTATGGGACTTATAATTTAAGCAAAGACAATTACCTTTTCTTTACCCACAACAACCAAGAGATAAATTTGTTCAAGTTATAATGATTGCACAAGAAAATTTATAAGTTTCATTTAGTAATTTATTAATGTAAGAGTTAAGCATTTCCCTTTTCCTTATCTTTATTTTGTTTTTATCTGAAATAGTCTCCTGTAGCCCAGGCTGACCTCAAACCCACTGTGTAAGCCAAGGATGACTTCAAACTTCTTATCCTCTTGACACTAACTTCCTACTAAGATTTCAGGCATGCATGCACACCTGTAATTGGATTTCTGCATTGCTGTGGATTGAACCTGGGGCTTCAAGCATGCTAGGCAAGCACTCTACCAACTGAGTTACACCTCCATCCAAAACTCAGCGTTTATGAAGTACAATACCCAAGAAATCATAAAATTAACATATACTTATAAGAAAGTACTTATCCTTAATGAAAAGATCGCTAATATAGTTATATATCCTAGTAATTTATGCTAGTACTTCACAGAAAAAAACATTTTATTACTGAAATCCCAAAGTCATAATTTCTGCACTGATAATGTCCCTTTTTAATAGAATTAATCATTACAAAACAAACAAAAATTGTAACTGTTTCTGACCTTGGAATTCAGGGTTCACTTCTTATCTTATGTAAGTATTTCAGAGATCAGCACAGCATCATGGAGTGTCATGCCACTGTGGTATGTGGGTCAGGACTCAGAATGTGATAAAATGACAGGAAAATGTGTATATATGTACATGTATATTTTATAAAATATATATATTGGTTTATTCATGTGGTTGTAAATGATTTACTACGGATTTCATCATAATGAAAAAAAGCAGAGACTTCACAGGAACACTCTTAACCATTGGGATGCATTGATGGCTTTGGGAGGAGTGACTACCATGGACAAACGAATGATTCCAAGTAGTTGGTGGTAACAGCTTTTTAAATTGTCAATCTCAGATCATCACATCGTTCTTTTAATTGTTTTGGAATCTATTCATAGTTATTTTTTTCCTCTCACTCTTCCATTTCATTTTCAGGTTGTTCTATTTAAACTGGTTTTCTCCCAACCACCATTCTCTCATGTTTTTTGAACAAAATAACAAAAAACTTTCCATATCTGCCAGCATTTCATTAAGCTGACAAACATATCTTTCACTGAATGTAATACCTTAGTAGTTCAGAATGTGTGAAGGTCAGTAAAAGTCTGCCCTTACTGCAGCTGATCTCAAACCTGAGACAACACTCTGGATAAAGCAGACTCATTCTCAGAATGACCTACCATCACAGCACTTTTAGCAGAAGTAACTGTGTTAGCTGAAAGTTCTTTTCTATAATGAACCAAGTCTTCAGAACTGGCATGAAGTCGGAAAGCTACACCTCCATATTCTTGGGTTGTACCTGCTTTCATCTTGATTGTCAGTTTGTTGACAGCATCTTTAACCTTGCTCACCATTCTAAATATTCCAGCTCTACTCCAAGCTCTAAAGAGCTCTGAACCTTCCAAGAACTCCCTTCCACCAGGATCTGGTAGCAGAGTGGGATGTCTTACTGTTCTATAGAAGGCACTTCTCCGGAGCTGCTCTCCATTTCTGCAAACCTGATGGATAACATTTTTTCTTTGCCTACTTCGACCTTGATCACACCACTACTGTTCCATTCTTCTCTTCATGGTGAAAGGACCAGATGCAAGCTCCATGGGTGCTGCAGCAGGCTTGCCAGCCAACCTGAAATGAGCCAAGGTGGGCAACTGCCACAGCATCTCCAAACAATAAAAGTGGCATCCTCGTCATCCTAGTTTAAAGATACAGCTTTTTAAGAAAGTTACCTTCTCTTGGAGAATATAATGCATGATTGTAGAACAACTACTGTTCCCTAAAAACTAAATGTAACTTTTTTCATCTATGAAGAATAATATCACAACTTCTCTTTCTTTTGAATTTGAAGTCTAACTTATATATTCTTGTGATATTTGTAATAAGATTCCAAAACCCCAATTTTATTCTATTCAAAATGTATTGGGGGAATTTTAAATCTTTCTTAACAAGCTCCTTCAGGAAAAGAGGGAAATAAGTATATAGTTTTAAATGGTCTTCAAAATCTCAGGTTTTTTTAAAATATTCAAAGGAAACTGGACTGGACAAGATTTTGAAACTCTACCCTGAAATCTGAAAGTTGATTTCTCCCCCTCCAATATTTTTCCATCCCCCAAACTTTTCTTTGTGGTTCAAGAAATTATCGGATGGTCAGAATGTACAACAGAGTAAATGGGAGGCTTTTTTTTTTCCTCTTTGTGGTTAGAGAGTTCTCATTTCTTCAGTAGCACACAAGGAAAGCAGATAATTTGAACTACTGAGTTCTCCAGCACAATGCAATTTAACAAATTATCTGTAAGGAAGTGAACCTTGTTTATTCTTTACATATAATACATATGTATGTGCACATACATACGTGCATAAACACAATCTATTGTAAAAGTTAACTATTTCCCTGACCAGAACAACAACAACAAAAAGATACCAGATTACATTTCCAAGGAGTGCAGTAACTTGATAGGACTCTGGGCGCCGCTGTTCACCAACCTGGGGGATACATGCTCTAACTACCCGCCCCCCCCCCACAAAAAAAAAGTGACTGTTACACTCTCCACCATACCAGAATGAACATGTCTGCCTGAGACTCCTCAGCATATTTCTGGACATCTCTCTGCTGTAATTATTTTAAATATTAAGGTAAAGAAGACCCTGGAAAAGCAGAAAAACAACACCCTTCATAACAGATTGAGAATACAGTAAGGAAGCCAGAAAGCAATGGCGATTTCAGAGAAGCTAACCGGTTGGAGCCGGCTGATAATACTGTGTCTTTCTCTGGAACTATTATCGGAAGCCGGCACTGGAAACATCCGCTACTCTGTGCCAGAAGAAACCGACAAAGGCTCCTTCGTGGGCAGCATCGCCAAGGACCTGGGGCTAGAGCCCCGCGAGCTGGCAGAGCGCGGGGTCCGTATCATCTCCAGAGGTAGGTCTCAGCTTTTCTCTCTGAACCCGCGAAGCGGCAGCTTGGTCACCGCCAGCAGGATAGACCGGGAGGAGCTGTGCGCCCAGAGTGCGCCCTGTCTCGTGAGCTTTAACATCCTTGTGGAGGATGAAATGAAGCTTTTCCCTATCGAAGTAGATATAATTGATATTAACGACAACACCCCCAAATTCCAGTTAGAAGAGCTGGAATTAAAAATGAGTGAAATAACTACTCCAGGTACCAGGATCCCTCTGCCTCTTGGGCAAGACCTTGATGTGGGAATAAACTCACTTCAGAGCTACCAGCTAAGCGCCAACCCTCACTTCCTCCTAGATGTGCAACAGGCACCTGAAGGAGCACAACAGCCAGAAATGGTACTGCAGAGCCCTCTAGACAGAGAAAAAGATGCTATACACTACCTCGTCCTCACTGCCTCTGATGGCGGTAACCCAGTACACTCGGGAACTCTGCAAATTCGTGTTCAGGTGGTAGATGTGAACGACAACCCACCTTCATTTAGTCAGGCAGAGTACCACGTGAGTGTCCCTGAGGACGTCCCATTAGGCACACGGCTTCTCAAGGTGAATGCTACAGACCCAGATGAGGGAGCTAATGGCAAAGTAACTTACTCTTTTCACAACGTAGACCACAGTGTGGTCCAGAAATTTCAATTGGATTCTTACACAGGAGAAATAACAAATAAAGAACCACTAGATTTTGAAGAATACAAAGTTTATCCAATGGAAATTCAAGCACAGGATGGTGCTGGACTCATGGCTAGAGCTAAGGTGCTGGTCACTGTTTTGGATGTTAACGATAATGCCCCAGAAGTTGGAATCACCTCTGTCACTACCAAAGTGGCAGAAAACTTTCCTCCTGGGACCGTAATTGCTCTTATTAGTGTGCACGATCAAGATGCTGGTAACAATGGTCATGTCACATGTTCCATTCCTGAAATCCTACCCTTTAAGCTGGAAAAATTAGTTGACAATTATTACCGCTTGGTAACAGAACGAACACTGGACAGAGAACATAGCTCTGGATACAACATCACAATAACAGCAACAGATCAGGGAACTCCATCCCTATCTACCCAAGCTCATATCTCACTGCTAGTGACAGATATCAATGACAACCCTCCAGTTTTTGAACAGGACTCCTACTCTGTCTACATTCCTGAAAATAACCCCAGAGGGTCTTCCATCTTCTCAGTAAAGGCCCAGGATGCTGACCACAATGAGAATGCGCTAGTGACTTACTCCCTGGTGGAAGACACTATTCAGGGAGTGCCTTTGTCTTCTTACTTCTCCATCAACGCTGACACTGGAGTTGTCTATGCATTGCAATCCTTTGACTATGAACAGTTTCGAGATTTGCAGCTAAGGGTGATGGCTCGTGATAGTGGGAACCCACAACTCAGCAGCAATGTATCCCTGAATCTGTTCATGATAGATCAGAATGACAATGCCCCCGAAATCCTGTACCCTGTCCTCCCCAAAGATGGCTCCACTGGTGTGGAACTAGCACCACGGTCTGCCGAGCCTGGTTACCTGGTGACGAAGGTGGTGGCAGTAGACAAAGACTCAGGACAGAACGCCTGGCTGTCCTACCATCTGCTCAAGGCCAGCGAGCCAGGGCTCTTCTCAGTGGGACTGCACACAGGCGAGGTGCGCACTGCCCGGGCCCTGCTGGACAGAGATGCTCTGAAGCAGAACTTGGTGGTGACTGTGCAGGACCACGGCCAGCCCCCTCTGTCCACTGCAGTCACACTTACCATAGCAGTGGCTGACAGCATTCCTGAACTCCTGGCTGACCTGGGTAGCATTGGGACCACTGCTGATCCCCAAGATTCAGATCTCACACTCTACCTGGTGGTGGCAGTGGCTGTAGTCTCCTGCATCTTCCTAGCCTTTGTCATCGTACTCTTAATGCTCAAGCTACAACACTGGTACTCCTCACGCTTGCTCCAGACTGCAGAAAATGGATTAACTGACATTCCTGCCTCCAACTTTGTAGGTGTTGATGGGGTACATGCATTTCTACAGACCTATTCCCATGAGATCTCACTCACTGCTGACTCATGCAAGAGCCACCTTATCTTCCCACGGCCCAACTATGCAGACACACTTATCAGCCAAGAGAGCTGTGAGAAAAGGGAATTTCTGTCGGCACCTCAGTCTCTGCTTAAAGATAAAGAGGAAATATTTTCTCAGGTAAACTTATAATAACCTTATAAGCTATATTGATGAAAATAATTCATGTCTGTACATATTTGCTTTTTCCATTTTCTGTAAAGAGTATATTCCATTACACCCCAGTAGTGGTTAGGTGTGTTTATTTTTGTTTCATGCCACTGGAGATTAAACCTAAAGGCTTATGCATGCTAGGTGAGTGCTACCATTTTGAGACAAGGCCTTGATAAGATTTCTGGGCTGGACTTGAACTCATTTCATAGCCCAGCATGGTTTTAAATTTATAATCCTCCTGCCTCAGACCACTGAAGTTCTGTGATCTCAGGCATGTAGTAACAACACAGGTGACCTACCCTTTTAGATCTCTATAGGCATGTAACATGAATAATAAATGATCCAAAGATATGTTGGGGTTCAAGCTTCAAGCTGAAGATCAGAAAGCAAAGCACCCAAGCCAGTAGATCTTGCCTCTACCAAGCTAAATTGGCAATCCTGTCTCCAGGAATCCTCAGAGGCAAAAAATCTCTGAATTCCTGTCTCCTCCTTATAGTCATTTCTCTGCCCAGCCATATCCTCCTGTCTCCACCTCCCTAGTGCTGGGATTAAAGGTGTATGATCCCAAGTGCTGGGATCAGAGACATGAGCTCTTACTCTTCATTCTTGTGTAGTTCAGGGTAGCCTTGAACTCAGAGAGATCCATCTGCCTGCCTGTCTCCTGAGTCCTGGGTTTAAATGTGTGTACCATCACTGCCTAGCTTCTATAGTTAACTAATGTGGCTGTGTTTGCCTTCTGATACTTTAGGCAATCTTTATTAAATAATAAATAATATATCACCACACTATGGGTATGGAACATGCCTAGAATCCCAGTACTCTGTCTCAAAAAGGGGTGGATAGCAGAAACTCCTACCATGGAAAGGATGCCTTAGTCATAGTGTGAGTGGTGAGGATAAAGAGTGAAGGCCTAGCTCCTTTGGGGAAGAGAACTGCATCAGAAATGAATTTGTCTTCTATTTTTCACTTATGTCTGGCTAATTCATTTCATTGTTCTGAGCTGACTACTTACATATTCAGAAGAGATAGTGGTAAAAATCATCAAAAGTCATAATTTTACTTGTGTTAATTTAAAATTTAAATAATCTATATAAACTGTGATTTGTTTCTAAACTTCTTAGTTCTATAATCTCTCATTAAGAGATTGTTATGTGTGCCTAAAATTATATCTCTTTAAGTAACGTATGAAATGGAGAGTAATGGACATAAATTTTGTCATGCAACTTGAGAAACTATTTTAAAGCTTCCCTACACACCTACACCCCCGCCCCCCCACACACATACTTGTGGTGAAAATGAAAAAAATCAAGATATATTCCATATTAGTGTGGAGTTGGTCTAAAGCTATGTAAATGAAGATTGAAGGCCAGCAGTGTAATACAGACTACTTCCTTCTACTACTACTTCTAAGTGGCCTAGGATTGGCTTATTGATTGACACCAGTTTAAGCAATGAGATCCATCAGTTACTTAAAATCCGGGAGTTTCAGGAAATCTTCCCTGCCAGTTCCTGTGCGTGGACTTCATTGCAAGCTGAAGGCCAGGGGAAATGAATACAGATGCACTGAACAGTAAGTCTGCTCACTGAGCTGCATTCTCCAGATTAGCACTGCCACACAGTCTTGAAGCACTTCAAAGACCTAGTTATTGCTTGGAACCTGAGCAATAGTTTTGACAGGCTCTCACTGTACTCGTTAGTTAGACTGAAACTTGCTACAAAGCCCAGGGTGACCTCTAACTTGTTATTTTCTTATCTGGGTTTTCTTAGTGCTGGGACTGCAGATATGAACCATCACCATGTATAGCTGATAAATAATCCCAGAGCCAACAACAGGTAGGCATGGTGGCACATTTTATAATCCCAGTACTGAAGAAGCTGAGGTGAGAGGGGTCATCCTTAGCTACATATCCAGTTTGAAGCTTTTCTGGGCTACATGAGACCCTGTGTTAAGCGGGGACCTCAGACCTCAGAAGAGAAAAACAGTAAGGAAGAGGAGTAGGTGAGACAACTTAAAAAAAAAAAGTCTTTTACTTAAAATAAATGTATAAGCCTAACTTTCAAAATGCATTGTCTTCCCAGAATCTGTCATTATTACAAATGAGAACTTTTCCGTCATCCAGTTGTCATTTTTTTTTTTTAAGTAATCTGTTTCTTCTCTGGTGGCTTTTAAGGAAATTTCATTCTTGCTGTGTGTCTTCTGGAGTTTTATTTTCTTCTTGGACACAAAACTACACTTTCAACTAATTAATTATTTCATCTCTGTATTTTCTTAGCTCTAATAATTTAAAGACAGATTGATGAATCGGTTGTTTTTTTTTAAATCTATATTCTACTGACAAGATAGATTCTTAAATCTATACCGAAATGTTGAAGTTAAAGATTAGTGTACACACATGCACAAATGAAAGATGTTGTAGACCATTAATACAAAAACAAAGTCATATTTAAAGCAACAAGCACTAGTTATATTATTTAAGAAATTCATTTAAGAAATGGCTTGATCGCAATAATAAAAAAAAAGTGTTGTAAAACTCATAGAAAATGATGAACTCCCATCACCTAAAAGCACAGCTTTGAAAATAATAGCCAGTTTCAGCATGATTCCCTAAGAAAGTGTAGATCAAACAGAAAGGCTGAAAAGGTTCTCAACTACCCATTGCTCCAACTTCAGTGGATCTCCAGCTTCAGTGGATCTGATGCCCTCTTCTTGCCTCCATAAGCTTTCTCCTTACATACATAATAACAGTTTAAAATGTAAAAATAATAAAAATAAGTAAAATGTGCAGAATTAATTTTAAAAATCTACCTATTCACTGAAGTCCATATGAAAACTCTAATAATGGAATTTAGGGCAGAAAAGAAAATGAAAAAATTCCACCCTAAAATTCATATAGAATCTCAAGGGACCCCTCCAAACAGAAAAAAAAACAATCTTGAAAAGAAAGTTGGAAGTCTAATAATCATTAATTAAAAAAAAACTTACTACAATAGAGCCACAAGAAACTACAAATCAAGAAAGGAAGAGTAAAGGATAGAAGGAAAGCAAAAAAAAAGTTAATTATTAATCAGTAAACAGTAAGTTTACAATAGAGAAAAGTACAATTAACTAGAAATTTTCTAGAATGTAACTAGTGATTAAAGATAACAAAAAACAGTACTGGGACAAAGACACCATGTGGCTCCCAAGAAAATGCATTGAGGAGATGACGTCATTCCTATGTCTTCCCACCAGATCTTCACAATATGAACCTAAGGAGAGGGTATCTAACACACCCAAACAAGGGAGAATGTTTTACAGTAGAGTTGGCCAAATCTTCAAGTCAAGAGTCATTAAATGTAAAGCCTGGGGAACTGTTCAGATTCTACCCACTGCAGAAACTTTGTGAAGTACAATTTAAGATCCTGGGCTGGATCCTAAGCCTGAAAAAATATTTTATTTTGCTATAAAAAAGACATTGTAGCAATGGGCAAATCATTACTAAGATCTGTAGGCTAGATAATGAAACTGCATCAAAGTCTAGTTGGTTTTATAGTCTGATAGTAAAGGAATCACAAAAAAAGTAAAGGGACATCATGTCTGAAACTTACATGGAATCAATGGGGAGCATTTAAATAAATTGTTAACATTTAGGGTAATGTGGGCACAGAACACAGTGAACTTTATGTAAAGTGTATAAGTCCAACAGCATGAGCCTACATCACAAATTGAAAGTATTCTGAAAATCTAACATAGTTCCTAAACATGTACATAAACTATTCATGTTATCTTAGACAGCATGTATAAAAACTACCCAGAAGAATGTACAGAGATCATTTGCAAATTCTACATTACTTTACACAAGGGACTCCAGCATCCTCAGATACAGAACCAAGCCCCCTCTGCTACCAAGGAACTGCTATACATGAGATTTATTTGGACTATTTTTTTTGCATCCATTCTCTGATTCTGAAATTACTCAAAAGAAAATGTATAAACATTTAAATGTGATATGATGTTAAAATTAAATAAAGCCTACTGGTATGTACACATAGTTTGGTTATGTTACTTCCTATAGTGGTCTATGTGCTTGAAATACTTCAAAGTGTATTTTTAAGCAAATGCATTATATATAAATGTGTTTGCATATATAAGCCAAATAGGAGTAAGGAGACATCCATGGCATCATCCGGGCAATACTAAATACAGAAAGGGAAAGAGTACTTAACAATACCAAACAACTTTGAGTGACAGATTCTTAATGTAAACTACCCTGTCTTCCGGAGCCTATTCAGCTATAGCCACCTTTCATTCCAGTTGTTCCTGGCTGTCTCCCAGCCCAACCACTAGTTCTGAGTTTCTACAATGCTACTCTAACCTCTTTTTTGATCCATTCTACCTGTCCGGATTCAGGTGAAGTAGCATTCAGAAAAGGTCTTTGTGACTCCCAAACAAAAGTTGGGTCTCCTTCCTCTGCATGTCCCCAAGGCTCAGTGCTTTTCACTAAATTTGGCATCGATTCTCTTTAATAATAACCCCTTTACTTTTCTACCTCTTCCCCATCCTGAAAAGTTTCTGAGAACTGGTTTCCAACTAAGATTCAATCAAACCTTGTGTCAGGCACACATGCTGTTAAATACCTACTGATCTACAAATTAAATATCAAGTTTTGGAGTTAAATGCTAAGCAACAGAGCACAAAACTGAAAAAAAACTAACCTTATAAGAAAATGTAGCCAATGTTTTAATGTTGATCTTTTTGTCTGAGCGTATGTAAGAAAAAGACGGGAGATAGTGTGACGCAACGAGGCCAACAGCACTTGGATTAAGCCTTAAACATTCTACAATACTTTCGTAGCAACCACTCTCAGGGTTACATATATTTACACCATTCTTATTAGTTCTGAAAAAGTCCCTCCCTTTAAATACATACTTCTACTGTAAATAATACAGTAAATACTAAGAGTCGTTCTTGAGAGCAACTTAAAACCACAGACGATCAT